GAAATAGAGATAACCTCCTCTAGCTGGATAACTCATTGGTCCGCATACATCACTATGTATGAGAGCCAATAACTCCGTCGCTCTCTGTCCTTTTCCCTTGAAAGGATGCTTTGTCATCTTGCCCATCAAACAAGAATCGCAAGATTCAAGAGACTCAAAGTCAAATGAATCCAGAAGACCTTCATGATGAAGCTTCTGAATGCGTTTCTCGTTTATATGGCCTAGACGACAATGCCAGAGGAAGGTCGGGTTTAAGTCGTTCGGCTTAAACCGTTTAGTACTCACGTTATAGATGGATGAAGTTGAGTTCGAAGGCTGATCATTCAAGACGTATAAACCATTAACTAGATAACCATTACCATAGTAAATACTGTCTCGATAAATCATAAAACTCGAGTTCTCAATCACAAATCGAAAACCATCCAAATCCAGACAAGAAATAGAAATAATGTTTCTGCTAATCGCAGGAACATAATAACAATTACTTAATTCTAAAACAAGTCCAGAAGGAAGATGCAAATCATAAACGCCAACACACAATGCAGCAACTCTTACTCCATTTCCGACGCGTAGATCCGCTTCTCCCTTAGCCAGCATCCTACTTTTTCTTAGTCCCTGCATATTTCCACAAATGTGTGAGACACTTCCGGTATCCAATACCCACAAAGATGTAGTACAGATATTAGCTTCTATAACATGCTAACAGACCGGTAGACTTGAACCTTGTTCCTACATGACCTGATCAATTCGATCAGGCACCTGAGGCAGAAGCTTCACCAAGCCAAGCTTCTTATCCTTCAGATCCTCCAAGTAAAGGTGACAATTACGCTTCCAGTGTCCAGACACTCCGCAGTAATGACAGGCACCCTTATCGGGCTTAGGCTTAGGCGTAGAGGCAACTTTTGCCTTTTTCGCCGCCTTTTTTTTGGCTTTACCCCGCCGCTTCTTGCTGGAGGTTTTCTCCACGGCAAGCATAGTCTTGGGCACCACGATATCCTGCTCGGCCGATTTCAGCATCCCATGCAGTTCGGCTAAGCTCTTAGTCATCCCGTGCATATGGTA